AGGCTGGCCGTCCCTTGCTGACCAACCCTTGGTAGCCAGTCTTGGCCCATTTCTGACCCGTGCCTGGTAACCAAAGCTCATGTTTCAACATTGGCTGAAGCCTGGCTTAACCATTGGGTGAAATATGGCCCAAGCTTGGTTGCCAAAGCCTAGGCAAGTCTAGGTTGAGCCAAGCTTGGACCAGTTGTTGGAGCTTGGAATTCCTACCTGGGTCGTTATTTGTCAAGCAATGAATAACGGGTAATTACACCAATTGATGATTGGGAATTGGCATAAATATTTCATGTACTATATTGAAAAATGGGAGATTAATACGTTTATGAATAAATTTAGCGTTCAGTCGATTTAGAAATTACATCACGTGTTGCAGTTATTATTTCCGGAATTTCGTGTTTTATCAGCGTTTCCCCTGAAACCGCTACCCGGTTTTTCTTGTTGACAGATGGGTGTCAGTTATGACAGATCATGCAAGTAAATCCGACCTCAAATATTCTAAAGGGATACCGAATCTCGGATTGATATCTTTTTTGTGTTTGAGTACTTAATAATTTACCGTCCCGAAGAAATTAATTTAAAAGATTCTACACTGTTGAAAATAATTTGATAATTGTAATAATTTTCTTTAAGAGAAAATAAAAAATAACACCTTGAAAGCCGGGACATATTCCAACGCGGTGAAAACAACAGGGCACATTGCCGGATGTGTGCAAATGCACTGTTGGAGAACATGGGGGGACGAAAAGCTGGAGGATTGATAAAAGTGATTCGTTATGCCGGTGAACAGCGATAAACCCGAAAAATGTGCTGTTATGTAGAGCGTTGTGACGAGAGCGCTCTAGTATCTGTGAAAATATCAGATGCATCCGGTGAAATGTTTCGGGATTATTATCAGTGGAAATATCAACCCCTCCCCTGATGTTATTCATGAATTCCCATGATGCACTATTGACTGTCGAGTAGTGCTATTCAAGGTCAAAAGCCTTTGTCGAATTAATCTGCTGGCTTTTGAAAAGGAGACGAAATATCTTTGCAGTTCGCCCTCGATTCCATTGATTCGTGCATAAAGCTCATTCATACTCCCACCTCCACCTGTTTCCATATGACTTTTAATTCGCAATTCACACATAGCCTCTCGTTTTTCCTCCACTCATTCAAGCTAGTCACAATACTTCAATGATAAAAAATTGGGGCAAAAGTGGATGCGCAACTTTTTCGGTTTTTTTCTACAATTACGAGCCCGGGGGACTTTCACCCATTGTCAAGTGTTGAGAATTCAATTGAAGAAGTTGGGTCTCGAGTGATAATTTATTGCGATATGCGGGACCTCTCCCAACGGAATTGGATCAAATTGCTAGATATAATTCACATTTCGCGCAATGCCGCTAAATTTTCCCCCTTTGTACGTCTTTTTTATTCTTTTTGTTAAACTCGAATATGGCACAAAGAATTTGTGACACGGAGACTGATTTTTTCGCTTGGAATATCAAATAATTCAGCGTTGGGTACAAGTATCGATGATTTTTTTTTAATCAAAATGAAACGGAGAGTGGAGTACACTGGATCCAGAACCAAGTCAAGTTGTTGTGAGTAATTATTATTTGGCGCTAACCAACAATGACGATTTCGTACACTGAAGAGAAAACTATTTCCACTGACTTAAAGATGTTTTGCTGGTATTTTGTTATTTTTTCTGTTTTTCTGAGATTTATTGAAAACTATCGATCGGATTGGGATATGAAAATATATAGCGTTTGTCCGTTCCATCATGATGGACTCTTTCATAAAGTTTCATCCCGATACACTAATTTTTGTAACTTTTCACTAAAATTTAATAAAAAATCAATAAATTGTAGTGAAAAGTTATAAAAAATGGTGTATCGAGATAAAACTTTGTGAAAGAATAAATGATAATGTAAAGGACAAACGCTATATTTTCATATCCCAATCCGCTCGATAGTTTTCAATAAGTCTCAGAAAAATAGGAAAAATAACAAAATATCGGCAGAACATCCTTAACATTTTTGAAGCAACACGAAGAATCTCTCCATAAATCTCTCAGTAATGATACAAGTAAAAATAATTTACAAGATTGTTAAAACTCAATCAAAAAGAAAAAAATGCATGAAAAGTCATTAATTAATTCCTGATAAGACAATAATCAAGAAGTAAAGGATGCGATAAAAATCCGGTTACACTGAGAGGAAAAATACATTTCTGGAGTCAATTTCATTCTTGTCACAATATCTTCCCTGCCATTGGATGCCGAAGAGGCTGAGACGATTGGAGAAAATCGGGTCATTCTTGTGATAAGAATCTATTGTTCGCCGAGCAACTCATTCGATTTTATCCCAATTAAGATGATGATCCTGAACATTTCATTAATTAAAAGATTCTTCAAAATTGTTATCGATAATTTCATGAATATTGAACAATTTAATTCACAACACCAATTATCGTTTTGTTAAATATTGAATCATATACAAATCTATCGATTTCCAGAGGAAATACTGAGGAAACTTCTTTGCTAAGCCGTCAATCTCCTAAAAAAAAGTCGACGAATTTAATTTAATTTAATTTAATACGAATTTAATTTAATTAGAGGTGATTCTTTTCAATATAAATCGTAAAATATTGAGAATATTGAATTCTTTTAATGAGTTGTTCACATCTATTCGGGCTGCGAATTAATAACCAAAACCCTAGGTATATTTTTCAACAGAGCAACTAGAAATAGAGCAAGCGTCTATGATCCGAAAGGGATAGAAAGCACATAATTTCGGGAGACCGAAATATTTGCGAAGGAAAGAGAATCTTAATATTTATTACCGCAGTTGATGCATTTAACACTGTCCTCACTATCGTTTTATCGAATACGAATGACCTTTGCATGACTAGACACGTATCTTTAAACCGCGAGGTGACTGGAAATGTGACATGAACTATAGAGTTTTGTTCACAGAAAAAAAACGCAAAATCATGGGATCGCGTTGAAGAATGAGACTTTTCACTGGACACAGGTACTTCATCGTGACTCATCTCTCGAGGGCTGTAATTCGATTAATAATATAGTCTAGGCTGGTGAAGAAGTTTCAAGTCCAGCTAGGAGACCACGAGAGGATGAGTGAAGTGACACGATACTGAAAACTACTCTCCAAGAGGGGTATACACTGTTAATTTTCCGAGTGTGTCCTCCAGGGCCTTTGGAATTTCTCACTCCACTCTTGGCTGTGGAGAGCTTTTAACGCTGTTTCTATGACTCAGGGGGTATTTATTTAATAGGCAGCTGGCAAATAAATCATTATGAGGGCTCTTAAGGGAGATGAGGAGATGATCTTGAACAGTCTGCAGGGAGAGCACTTCAAACTAATTGAAAGAAAAATTAGTTTTTCGTTTCTCCAGAGAAGTATTTATATTTCAGAAATTTTGAATGTTTTATGCGTCATAGATCGACAGGAAAATTCTTCATTTGAATGAGGTCAGCTCGAATTACCTCGAACAAATCGTTCATTTGACTTTAATGTGGGAGCTATTTGATTTAAATAAAGCTGATTAAATCACATAAACATTTTTTCATCCAACAGGAATTTTCCGTATGTTTTTTATCATCAACTCTCTACTCGACCCTAAAAAATGAAGTTGAAATTATTACAATGCTATCCAACACCACCAGTCCGCGAGTGGTCCTCTTTTAAAATTCCCCTTAAATAACTCGGTTCATCCCCCGTCACAAATCGTTGGGAAAATTATAAAGCGAGAGATAAAACGAGAAAATGACTTACGGATGTGACACACGCCGGAGACTCCTCATAGACATTGTCCTAGCCCTGGAGCGTCCTGGACAGGTTGACGTTGTCCCAGCATTGGCACTAGCACTAGCACTAGCACTGGGGATTGTGTGACGCGTGGTCGGGGGTTGATTAGCATCCCCCGTAGCCACGGCCACCCCCGTTACTCCCGTGGTAGCCAGCACTGCACGACGTAAAATTGGCCCTGTGTATGCGACCCCGAGGGCCCAACGTCGGGCAATAACGCGCACCAGCCGACGGGCCAGACGCACCCCCGCGCCACCCACACTGATTAATTAATCAATTGCCCCACACCCCTTACCAAAGGGGGTGGTGGCGGACCTTTTAATCACCCTACTTTTTCTAAGAAAAAATATACCAACTAATTTAACTAGATTTAACAAATGTTCTTCAATCTTTTTCCACCCACTAAACTGTTTTCAATTTTTTTATTATTTATTTTAATCACTCGATGTTGGATATCTCTTCATCACCAATGGAGCGATCAGTTTTTATCATCCCTGGTAACACCCAATTCGCCGGAGCATGCTGAAAGCAAAAAGAGAGAGGGAAAAGTTAAATAGAGTGTGAAAATGGGATTGAGAGGATGACGGTTTTTTACTCTAATACTTTTTTTTTCTCCCAGTCCCACGGAGAGTCCCATCGTGAATTCGACTTTATTAAAAATGGTACTGAACCGGCAATGCCATCCCGACCAAGTCAGTATCACTTCACTCCAGATATCGACTCTCTGGTGGGTACGTGAGTACTTATACGTATTTCGCTCTGGGCGTTCTTCGACATGTGATTCACGTACCCCGTACAACGCCCACTGAAATACCTTCATATATACTGTTACTTCACGCAGTACGTGAAATAATGAGATATATTTTTTATTACTTGCGGTGAACTTTGTGGAGGGAATGTAATTATTAGGTGAGTTTTGGAGAGTTCAAGATATTAAGGATGTTTAACCGCTCAGGTGAGCAACCGCGTCGAAAAATTAAATAAATAAATTCAAATAAATCATTTATGATACAAGTGATTTTCTCCATCAATATACAAGCCTCATGGCATACTTTTTAGTTCAAATTATGAAGAAATATGGAAAATGTTTATAAACATGGATGTATGACTGATTATTGTTATAACGCCCGAGCGTTGTTCGCATTTGGCAAGGTACTCCATCATCATTGTTGCATCGTTATCTATCCTGCCGACATTGCTCACCTGTAAGAGTAACATTGTCAACATTTTAAAATCGTAATGCGGGCTACTTTTTTTAGATCTTTTAAAAAACAATCACCAATTCCACGCGTATTGTAACGGCTACCTTAACTCCACGCGGAGAGAAATATTTCAAGAAAATTACGGCACATTTCAGGTAATCTGTACGCGAAGCAATCATCACATAAATTCTACGATCTGTTCCGTAAAAGTTACTCATCCGCCCGACGCCTCATGGACATAGCCATGAGTCATCGTAAAGGAGAGATTTTTACGGACCGTTTCGTAATTTTTCCGGAACGTTCCGTGAAAATTCTTGAACATCCAAATTATGTTCTAAGGCGTAATAAGTCTTGAAGTTTCGTTCGGTTTTAAAACTCCCAGAAAAATTACGTGACTTTTTCGTATATTTTCGGTGACCGAACCCGAAAATTTTCTGAAAGTTGCAGATTTATTCCCCGAAAACGATTCTCGCTGGCGGATTACGTGAAATGTTCCGTAATTTTTCTTGAATATTTCTCTCCGTGCACATTGTCAAATTAATGAGTTAATTTTTTTTTATGATGTTGAGTGCATATCCTAGCGCCCTTTTCAATCAAAGCTAGCGCGGTCACGTTTTACCATAAGACTCTATGCTCCAGATAGGTGTTTTCACTCACTATTCTCTCGCCAAAAAGGATGAATCGGAGAATCGTAAATGTGATTTGGGTATGATTATACTCTCAGCTATTATATAAAAAATAGGTATCGGTTAAGCATCTTTTAGGATATGCAAGTATTACCCATCATTTTTTCTGAATAAAATCCCTTCCAGGAAATATAGAACAAGATCAGATCTTTATTTGACCGATTTTTCGATTCTGTAATTTCAATTGCAAGCAATCTAAAATGAATGAATTTCAGATTATGTCTATGTGTATGTGCTGGAAAATTCCAAATTTCGACGATTAATTTTGAGAAAATTCTACATAGATACAGAAAAATTTGTAGCTAAAGATCAGAGTTTTCAATTTATGATAGTTATCATTAACCTTCACTCTGATGCGTCGTGTCAGCTCTATCGGTCCAGTAGTTCCTCATATATTTGTAAATTGCGTTATTCCTGAATATCTTAAAACCTACGGCAAGAATTTCAATTTTTTGTTCAACATACTCGTCGCGTTGGGTCCTATCTATAGCAATCGAAACATTTGTTCTGATGAAATTTTGAATAGAAGCACCACATTTTCGATACCTTAATGTGGCCTGGAAATTATGTGGAAAGGTCAGAAACGTAAAAATATAAAAATATGTGTATGTGTGAGTGCGTGTGTTCCAAAATTGATTCCACAAATCTGAAATTTTGTCAGTTCATAGATCCTGCTATTTACTTGATTTATGCTAAATTTCAGCCCGATCAGCAGGATAGTTTCCGAAATAACGGTGATTGTTTTTGAACATTTTTTTACAAATATCTCAGAATTATACAACCGATTTTCTTTTTTTTTGAGATGTTCGTCTCAATACGTTCTTATAGTTCAGCCAGGATATAGATATGTGTTCCTCCAAAGTGAGATATTTCAATTTTTATGTTTTTCCAAAAAATTCGATGTAGGCGCTCACTGATCTTTGAAAGTCCACCTATCCACATGAAATTATGCAAACAGTTTTCTCTTATGACCATCATGTTCCCTATTGGCAATGGACTGGAATTCCTTTTTGGGCGTTAGGCTCTGCCTTTTGAATCGTCATGGCGATTCGTAAATGCTGAGGAAGAATTAATAAAAAAATAACAAAAAAAAGAAGCGTCACTTTAGGGGTTCACTTTAGAACATGTGCAAATTAATTTTCCTCCAGAGCAACATGATTGTTGTGATTGAGACCTAATTAACTTTTTTCTTTACGATTAATAATTCTCTGAAACAAATACACTGGGCAAAAATAATTTTTTTTTCTTTGTGGAACGTTGAAAAATAATTTTACCTAGCGTACGTCGAGATATTCAAGTTTAAAAGCCTTCGGCTCGGTGTATTAACCTCACACGCGTAAAAAACAAAACTAACCCTCTTGAAACGCAATATACTATTATTGGCAATTCTCATTATCCGATACTTGAAGTAATACTACAGGTTCGATTGAATCTCTAACATGAACGCAAATTGCGATAAAATGATCGCAGCCTTATGTATGGTATGTAAATGGAAAAAAATACTGAAATTGCTTGAAAATTCAGAGACAACTCTGATTTTTCTGAATTGAGACAAGAAAATTTTCGAATACTCGAACGATTCTTTTCAACAAGATTGCAACAAGATTAACAAGATTATGAACAAAGTGGATTCAGTTCTGCTTGACAACGCAATTGTAGCTTTATTTTCCTCGTTCCCAAGCCAATGAAGAAAGAATGGCTCATTAATTTTGCCCCTCCGCCGGGTGGCGAAAACCCAAGTAGGGTTTGTCAATCGTCAAACATTGGACGATTGCTTGGTTGAGAACTGGTGTGCATACTATTGTAACCCAATAGTGGGCAAAGCCCAGATTAACCCAAGTTATCGAAATCCATGCATTGAACGCCAATCTTTAATCATAGCATAGATAAACATTGACAAATCAATCATTGGGATACCATCTCTGGACCAATAATAGGCCAAAGGGAAAATTACGATAATGATATCGTAATAATAATATAACCTATATAATATGTATAGTGATAATAATAAACAATAATTATTAAATAGTCATTGTATTGGTTTTGACTATAAACTCCAAGAATTAATTGAATGATTGAAACGTGGAGCGCCAAAAAATCCGAAATAAATGTAAAATGTATAAATCAATAATACTAAAAATGGAGATTAAATAAATATAAATAAACTAAAAAATAAGCAATATGAATGTAATAACGATATAAATGAATATACAGTGACATTTATATAGACGATTTTTATTTCCAACAATACGAATCGCGCAATAGTCTCGTGGTTCGAATGACCTCCCTACCATCCCCACATCAAATATCATTCTTCATCCGATTAATGAATTAACAATCACCTCTATAAATGTGAACTCGATAGTAAGACAGCAACGTAGATTCTTTCTACAAAACTTTCTCGAAAACAATAAAATCGATATCGCTTGCATATGTGAAACCAAGCTTAACAATACCCACAAACTCAGCTTTGACAAATATAATCTGGTTAGAAATGACAGAAAAGCCTCCAAATTCTCTGGAGGCACGGCAATTCTAATCCACAAAAACATAAATTATTCAATCATAAATTTTCCGAATTCACTGAATAATAAATTATTGGAATATACCATTGTTATGATCACATCAACTAATCTGAATTCTTTATTTATAGTTAGCGTCTACGCCACTAACGCCAATCATCAAAAACAAATATTCCTAGACGAGCTGGATTTCCTGTTTGAGAAGTTAAAACTTAAAGATAGCAATAAATTCTATATCATCTTGGGTGATTTAAACAGCCGACACCCTGATTATGGAGATTCGGTTAGCAACAACCGCGGTCGTAATTTAAGGTACTAGGAATTAGCAAATGATGATAGATTCAAATTAACCATCATTCCCCCATCTGATCCTACATATATAACTTCTAATACTTTTCTCGATCTAGCTCTTATCGACTCCAGATTAAAAATTGATAACCTAATTAATAACAAACTCAAAACGCTCATATATGATAGTGGCCATAAAGCACTTATTATCAACCTTCAAATAAGTAAAGATTACCTAAATTTTGATATTCTCCCTAACGCTCCCCGCAACTTCTTTATATACAAAAATACTAACTGGGATATTTTTACGAAGCATCTACAAGATAACTACCCTGTAGTAATCCCCAATAATACTAATCTTTTCATCTATTTCTAAACAGAAATAGATGATTATGTTACACAAATCTCTGATTTTATACTAAACTCCATTCACAAATTAGTGCCTAAATCCACACCCTCGGATAACATTAAAAAATATTCCAATAAAAAAATCTTAAAACTACATAAAATCAAATCTAGATTATTAACTGCTTATAATAAAGCACTGAGAACAGACCCCCTCAAAATGCTTAATAAAACCAGATACATTCACTGCCTCCTTAAAGCATATAAAAAAAAATTAGACCTAGAATTTAATCAAGCAGTGCAAAAATACTGGGTTAATGTCTATAAAAAAATTAATTTTAGAGACCCTAACAAGTTCATGCCTATGATAAACAATATTTTCCGATCAAAAAGAACCCATCCCATTAATGAGCTAAAGACTAATATCAATAATAATAACCTAGTTAACGACGATAAATGTGATTTAAATAATATCCCTGTTGTCGAGAACCAATACATTATAAATAATGAATACGATCTGTTAAATGTATTAGGGGCACATTATGAAAATGTTAGTACCCCCACGTATTTAAACAACAATACATCCCTCAAAAAGTTAATAGATAATAGAATCCAAATGTTCTATGACGAACTATCAGCTGATATTAATCAGAATAAAACTCTAACTAAATTCACTAACATAAACAGAGCTTCCAACCCTGTTAAAACCTCCAACGTTACTAATTTCTTCACCAATATAAACACTGTAAAATTTATATTAAAATATCTACCTAATAAAATATCCTCCGGTTTAGATAAAATCCCACCGATAATATTAAAACATCTCCCAGATAAAATCATCAAAGATCTAACAATAATTTTTAATA